TTCGTCTTCATCTTTATCCTGTTTATCATTTTTTTCCTTTGACATTTTCTTCGTAATCTTCTTCGTCTTTATCACATTTTTTACATTACTTTTTCTTTATCTTGCTCATAATCTTCTCAGCTTTCTTTATCATTAACTTCACCTTCCCCTTGTTTCTTATCCGTAAAAATACTCTGTAACCTTATTCATTATCATCATTATCATCAACTTTTCTTCGTAATCTCTTCATTATGCGGCTATAATATTAACTTTATACTTAATAAACAACTTCATTAGATAATAAATTAGCGTGATTAGAAGTAATATTTACGTTTTTAACACGTTTAGAATGATAATTAGCTTAGAAAAATTCAAATAACTGACTTGCTGACACTGCAAATTTAATCATTAATAATTCATAAGTCGTATTGAACATCACACTTCAGTCGTTTACAGTAACAAGGTAAAGTGTTAAAAATTTTATAATTAATAACCGTATACACGTCAACGTTAACATAATTGTTCGATATCAAGTATGCTGATGCAGTAACAAAAAACAGGTTTTGCTACTTTACTGTGTTCATGACACCCTTCTACAGTAATAAAAACATAATTACACATAATTCACGTCGATTTAAACGACATTAAACGATTGTTATCATTTCAAAATCGCGTTTAAATGGTTTAAATCGCGCGATCTGTACATGATCGCTCATTTATAACACACTTAACGAAGCTGTCATTGATTAATTTTAGAATATCTCTTTAAAATATTAATTCGCCACAAATCTACATTCGAATTACTTAGAAAAATTAAGATAAATTGAAAATTAAACAAGCTACGGGTATCTAAACAACAGGTTAAATATTCCGCTTTGTAAGCAATTGGATAAGTTCGCAACGTAATCCAATCAATTAATGTTTAATTTTAAAAATGTTTATAGCTTAATACTAATAAATTTCACTTTAATTAAATGGAAATTTTGTGAGGAAAAAAAAAAGCAACTTAAGTGATAATTGGTTAAAGGCTGCTTGCTGCTCCTCCTCCTTCTCCTCCTGCTCTTCTTTATCTTTTTTTATTTTTTTCTTTGTTGTTGTTGTCGAGTTGGCTTTATCGAAAGAGAAAGTAAAAGTATAGGAATTGGGAGATGGATAACTTCACTGAATGTTTCATGAAGCGGCAGATTTCAGACAGCACCCGATCATTGTAAAGGCCACTAGGGATGTCATTGCTACTCTGTTAAGCCAACATACACTAACTGGCTAGCAAATGAAGTTTGCAATCATCCAAAGCTGACTATTACTGTTTTATCTTTCATGCGAAAGTTTTCAACTATAAAAAAGTATATAATCTCTCCCCCTTCCACTCTTTCTAGTGCCACTTCTGAGCCTTAAAACCGCTGAACAATTCGTTTTTTTCACCACCCTCCCTAAGTGGCACTCCAACAATTCTACTCCTCTACAATTAACACGCGATTAACTCAATTAATGCCAATTATTTTGCTTAATTTATCTGTATTTTTATACATTTAAATACGATTTTGATCTTATATTTAAGTCATTTTAATCAATAAATCACCTGAAACTTCCACACTTTGCAGCCATCACATAAACACTCCAGAATGCTCATGAATAATTCTAAGCATCATTTAAATATTAAGGATGATTTTCTCTGTATTTTAATATGAACAAAGTGTATTTTAGTACCTTAAAATTTTAAATATTCGGAATTTTTTTACTCGTAAACGATGTTTCAAAGCGGAGTGCCCGAATTACTTTTAATGGCACATTAATGATTATAACTCAATTAATGGATTAATACTGTTGTTTACAACTCAATAAGAGGCTTTTTTCGCATTTAAAATGCTTAAATATTATATTTAAGTGAGTTTAATTAACAAAATCGCTTCATTTTTTAAGTAGAATTTAGCACTTTTAAACTCCTATTAAGCTCAATGAAATTACTTAATAATCACGTTTATCAATATTTAAACCTTAAAAATATTTACTTTATGCAATTTAAAAGCATTTGTGGGCCTTAAAATTCCAAAATTTCTCTTTAGAAATTAGCACTTTTGCGCTCGAAAGTAGTATTTCAACAGCAAGGATCTTTAACATTCCCCCTCCCCCGCGAACATAATTAATAACACAACACAATTAACCGCGCGCGCTCATTAACACTAATTTTTATAACTTTATAACACATTTACACGTTTAAAACACACTTTAAACCTTATAAAACATTAATTTTAGTTAATAAATCACCCCGAATTTCGATAGAATTAACACTCTTTCAGGTCTTCTGAGTGCTTAGAATTATTGATAGAACGTTGTAAATACGTTGTAAATTTTAAAAATAATTTATGTATTTAATAAAATGCAAAAGGCATGAATTGTTTTCATAAGTAAAAGAACACGTGCAAAATAGCAATTTATACTCAATATTTTTACAGAGAAACTCGACGTAGAATAGCTTCGTGTCCATATAATAAATTATTTACAATTTTAAAATATAATGTTTTAAAAATTTAAGCCATGAATTAATTTAAATATCAATCTAATCGCTATTTAGCAAATATACACATGATAAAAAGTTATTATTGTCTTAATTTTGTGCTATGAGAAATAAGGATGATCTCGTTTAGTTACAAAAGAAATTTTCTTGAAAATCTTTGTAATAACTTTTATAAATTTATGGTGAATAATCCTAAGAAGAAAAACGAGCAAACTTTGTTTCAATGAAAGTCTGATATCAAGAATTTATGTTCTTGTTTCGGAGCAAAAATTTCAAATTGTTTGCTTCTTAGGATTATTTATTACAAATTTACAAATCAACTCGTGAATTTATTTTTATTTTATCTGTTCTGTGGTACAAGGAGGATAATTTTTCTAGCCCCTTGTGAGTTCGGCCAGATCCACAATGAGGTATTCAGAAAAGGACATTTAAGTCTGACGACCCTCGAAAAATTCTTGGAATTGGTTGCTTGGATTTGATCTAGGATTCTCCGTAGTGGTAGACTGGCGCCTTAACCGCTCGGCCATCCGGAGTATAATATGTATTCACAACTATCACTTGTTTTGATTCTTCACAGTCTAGACTAAAAGTCAAATGTTATAATTATGATTTTTATTTGTTAATTTTCCAATTTTGATAAATATACCTGGCTTATTACCGTAAAAATTATGATTTTGAGTTCGGCACGTGGGCAATCTGTCGACGGGGATGCCTACCGGGAAGACTTTCTAAGGAACAAACGTGGAGAAAACCTGGAAACTCCACGTGACCAGTCCGTTGGCAAAGCGTGAACCCACGACCAGTATTCAGTGATTTTAACCACTCGGCTACTGGTAGTCCTCGGGCCGCCCAAAGCAGTGGTCCCCAACCCCCTGGCCGCGGACCGGTACCGGTCCGTGGATCAAATGGTACCGGGCCACCCAAGGAACATTAAATTATTTCCATTTTATTTACTATGGTATTTCCTCGGATTTGTGCGACTTTTAATGGGCGACGGAACAACGGAATAAACTGGACATAAGAAACACACTTCGGGTGTCATTGTCTNAATAAATCACCCCGAATTTCGATAGAATTAACACTCTTTCAGGTCTTCTGAGTGCTTAGAATTATTGATAGAACGTTGTAAATACGTTGTAAATTTTAAAAATAATTTATGTATTTATCAAAACACAATCAAAGTAACTAAAATATATAAAGTTTTTTCTATATTTTAAGCCTATTATTTATTAAAGAGCATGTTTATTATATAGGCTAGTAGTATACGAGAAACGATTCCCCCATCTGTATACAACGCCTGTACTTAAATGTAAAATAACAGATAAATATAAAAACAATAGTAATGTGTGTGTGTGTGTGCGTATATATATATATATATAAATTCTAGAAAAATTCTATGTGAGATGTGACAAAAGCATTCTTGAAAAATGGAGCGAATAACAAATAGACAGTGCCTTTCAACACAACTGAATTGCCTTGCTTATCTTTAAAATATTCAAATATATATATAGGATATTTATATATAAAGATATATTTATAGATCTTATGAATCTTCTATTACTTTAAAATTGCATTTTAACTTTCATTCTTTGCTCTATACTTAATCCCAATACTTAAATCTCTCTCCTCCATTGATACCTTATGGAAGTATTCATACATCCCTCATGTAAAAGCTCTACTACTTGTACAGAATCCCTTAAATATAAAGTTTGTAATCTTCGTGAGGCCTAGATTGAGGTAAGGCCTCACAGGTTTAAGTATTCAGGATGCCTCCTCTGTTTTTTGACGTTAAAAATCTTACATATAAATCGTCGTTTTGTTACATTTTATGCGTATTAATGGGGATGGAAGTTTTATTTATATTATTTTAAATATATAATATGATTTTTAAGGATGTTTTGGTGCTTTTCTTTTGTATTTAGGGCCTTAAAAAGTTAAGTTTTTCTGGTGATAAAATAGTGAGAATGAAGAGAGAAAAGGCCTCTCTTGACGTCTTTAAAGGTCAAGAGAGGCCTTGTGTGTCTATTTTTTTTTATATTTCTTTATTTTAAAATAAGCGAATTACTCTTCAGTGACTTATAAAGAGGTTAAAGGTCATGATATTTATTAAATTTACGAATATCTTGTTGATTATCTTCTATAATACAGTAAATTTTGCTTGAATTCTTACGTAAATCTCTTGCCATATTTTAAGTCTCTTAAGACTTTTGAGGCCTTGAACACTTGTATTTAGATAAACTATTATACATTTAAGTTATTAGGACCCAAAATATTTGGCAGGAACAGATGAAAATGATGAGAGAACCATAGTTTATACACAAGTAAGAAGGATGCATCATTGGTTCTAGATGACAAAAAAAAAAAGACGTGTATTAAAAGTAATTAAATACTAATTTTATTTAAAAGGTAATTAATACGAAAAGTTTACTTGTAAGAGAATGAGGGGGTAAGACTAACTTTAATCTAGTTCTTAATCCCTCCACTAGAGGTAGCGTGGTGATGTTCTTAAGATCGATCGAAGAGAAACGGCCACAAGTTTGTAGAGAAGTTGATCCAACTCAATTTGCAGACAATTTTTGGATGGAGAAGTCCTATCTGAAGATCTCTCGTTAATATGTAAGCCTTGTTTCTCTCATCTATAATCAAATCGTTTAACAGTAAGACAATAAATCACCTTTAACTGTATACTCTCTTGTGTGTGTATGCGTGTATGTGTGTGATGTAATTTTACAGTAAATTTTCTAATTTTGACAAGGAAAATGTGAGTTTTTTTTCCTTCCAATTTTTAAATTATTCTCTATTATTGTTACCTTCCGTTATATACGTACTCATTTACTTGTATAGATTATATTTATACTGCTTCTATACGTACTATAAGCATCAATTAATGTCATTCACTTATCAAAATACAAGTAAAACACTACTTTAAATTATTTTATTTCTATTAATTATAGTTATATCTGTAACTTTTTATAGATATTTAATGTGTTTTTTTTAATTAGAACTAACTTAAATAAAGCCAGCATCTGCAGNCAGAATACAATTCTTAAATTAAATTAATTAATTTAAAATATACGCTCTCCACCTCAAATTAGTAATGTCTTGCGCCTGTAAATCATACTTTTCCTCTATTAATTTAATTGCAATTAACTTCGTTATGAGAATCGGGAGAATAAAAAATGTTCATTAGAAAATTTTTAATTAAATTAATTTAAAATATACGCTCTCCATCTCAAATTGCGTGTTTTGCCCCTGTACATCATACTTTTCCTGATAGCAACAGAGTTTTTGAATTGAAATAACGTGAGTTCCGTTCCATACCGGAAGTTAATACACAGTTAATCGGGACCTCTTACACATATTCTTTCCACATATTGCCTCTATTTTAATCTATCTGACTCCGTTCTCGAGATTAAGGAAGGACAGACAACAGTAGGAATTTATACGTCTACAGTTTTTCTTAAATTACAGCCCAAAAATTAATTCTTTTCAATAAGTTTTGAGGAAATTGCTAAAGGTCAGTACTTGCCCTTTTATTCATAAAAAAAATACGCAGCTGAATGTATATTTTCCTATTTTTTTTACTCGGAATATAAACAGGCAAGAAAAGAAACTTTCTGCAACGGAATATCATTTTATTCTGACATATGTATAAGTTCTTTTCTTGTGGAAGGAGGAATGCCCTATGGAATCGACAGGAAATGAGAGATGATGCCTTCGAGACCTTACATCTATTGGGAATTTCTAAGCAGGTTAATCAGTTCTGTTCACCCTTGGGAATCAGACCCACTTCTCTATCCAAGGATTAAGTTGACTACAAATAACTTTCCTCTTTTTTTCTTTTTTTTTTCTTGAAGTTTTCTTCTACTGAAAAATTAACAATCAACTAAGATCTTTCTTGAAGTACTCTTAATAATAAAAAATGAAAAGAATTCCACGTAATCTGAAAATCTCGTTATCTTTTTTAATATCCAGTTAAAGATTGTAAATCCATTAACTTGTATCTTCTTCCTTTTTTTTATTTTGTTTTATTTATATGTTTGAGTGTAATGTTGAATGCAAAATATTTATTTTGGATGCTATTTAAATATTAAACATAGTATAAAGGATATGTTTCCTTTGCATCCCTATTGATAACGCTTACTTTAAGACGTGGTATGCATGTAATGTAGATGTGTGGAATGCATTATGCTTTATATAACGTATATGTATTTTCTTAATAATCATTTACGTTACTCTTGATAGCATTTATACACAACACTGTATTCCCTTGACAGTAATTATACACCTACTTCACGTGCATCTCCCTTGATAACACTCATAAACTCACTTTACGTGTTAAGATTTACTGTATACATCCACTTCATGTACATGTAAGCATTTGATAACATGTAAACATCCCCTTTATGTATTTATAATCCTTATATTTGTTTATTATAGTTTACATTTATAATTTATAACTATAATTTCTAGTGTAATTCATACAAATTCATATCTATCAACCTGCACGTTGAAGATTCTGTTTAAAAATCTTCGAGGATAAACCATAAAAAAAGAGACTTATATAGGGGAAAAAATTGTAATTTTCAATTAAATTTTCGTTTCCTTAATTACTTTTTTTAAATAATTAATAAATTAAATACGTGATTAATACAGGAAACCGAGTGTAATTCATAGGAAAGAGGAAGGTATTTTCAGTATTATTTTGCAACCTTTCTACGTGATAAATGTTGCAAATGTTAAACGTGGTATGTATGCGTATAAAAATAAAAGTTTCATTAGTTGTTCTCGATAAATTATTTAAATTTTACACATACACAACACAAGCTTTATTAACATTCAAATAGGGATTATTCCTTGGCTGTAACTCAAATTGTATGTAAAGTATCTCTTGGTGTGTACTTTAACTATTTTTATAGCGTGACTCATACCGAAATTTAACACTTGGATGACTTTTTTTTTATATATTTTTTTCGTGAAATATTGTTACTGCTTTACGCAATTTCCTTATGACAAATCTCGGAAGGAACCTGGAAATATTCGCTCAGGTGCTTAAAACGTTCGAAAAAAAAAATGCAGATTAACCGTCGAAAAAGTTTAGAAAATGTATTATTAGTAAGGAAAATAGCCTGAATTTAGCCTGAGTTAGTCATTATACAAAGAGGCTTATATTAGCCTGAATTTCATACAGAAGTGTAGCCTGAATTTAAACTTTGAATTACTCCTACACAAAGAAATTTAACTTGAATTTAGCCTGAAATCCTCTCACACTAAGAATCTGAGCCTGAATTTAGCCTTAAATCCTCATAATAAAAATCTGAGCCTGAATTTAGCCTTAAATCCTCTCATAATAAGAATCTGAACCTGAATTTAGCCTTAAATCCTCTCATAATAAGAATCTGAACCTGAATTTAGCCTTAAATCCTCTCATAATAAGAATCTGAACCTGAATTTAGCCTTAAATCCTCTCATAATAAGAATCTGAACCTGAATTTAGCCTTAAATCCTCTCATAATAAGAATCTGAGCCTGAATTTAGTCTGAGTTACTCCCATACAAAATCATTTGTATGGGAGTAATGGATTAGCCTGGATTGCTTTCATACAAAGCCTTCTAGTTTAGACTTCTGTTCAAAGAGATTTACATTAATTTAGCCTGAATTACTCCTATACAAAGACGTTTAACCTTAATTACTCCTATAGAAGAACATTTAGCCTGAATTTAGTCCGAATTACTCGTATACTAAGCGACGTATCCTAAATTGCTCCCAACAGAGAGGTTTATCATAAAAATTCGGTTACTCTTAAACAAAGTCCACTTTCCCTTCTTGCAGGCTTACAAAGGCTACCGTTAAATAAATAACTACTTTTTTAATAAAGAAAATATCCCGCTTCAATTCGTGTATTAAATATTATAATGTTTCCTAAGAGTAGAATAAATCTCGAAACCAAACTTTCCTCAACAGGATCACGTAACCATTGGACTACCGAGATAACGAGCACGCTTAACTGACTTTCTACATTAGATAAATGTGAATTTTATGTTACTTTTTTATGATTTAAATATTCCGGAGACGAAAAACTACCCCATAAAACAAAAAAAATACCAAAAAAAACGGTTAAATTTACCTTAAAATTATACGGTTTCAAAGCTACGTAAGGTGGATTTTTATTTTAAAAAATATTTTAAAGTGAGCTGCTAATAATAATAATAATAATAATAATAATTTCGAAGGTATTTTAAAGTAGAACGAACAAAAATTTTTAATTAAATTAATTTAAAATATACGCTCTCCATCTCAAATTGCGTGTTTTGCCCCTGTACATCATACTTTTCCTGATAGCAACAGAGTTTTTGAATTGAAATAACGTGAGTTCCGTTCCATACCGGAAGTTAATACACAGTTAATCGGGACCTCTTACACATATTCTTTCCACATATTGCCTCTATTTTAATCTATCTGACTCCGTTCTCGAGATTAAGGAAGGACAGACAACAGTAGGAATTTATACGTCTACAGTTTTTCTTAAATTACAGCCCAAAAATTAATTCTTTTGAATAAGTTTTGAGGAAATTGCTAAAGGTCAGTACTTGCCCTTTTATTCATAAAAAAAATACGCAGCTGAATGTATATTTTCCTATTTTTTTTTACTCGGAATATAAACAGGCAAGAAAAGAAACTTTCTGCAACGGAATATCATTTTATTCTGACATATGTATAAGTTCTTTTCTTGTGGAAGGAGGAATGCCCTATGGAATCGACAGGAAATGAGAGATGATGCCTTCGAGACCTTACATCTATTGGGAATTTCTAAGCAGGTTAATCAGTTCTGTTCACCCTTGGGAATCAGACCCACTTCTCTATCCAAGGATTAAGTTGACTACAAATAACTTTCCTCTTTTTTTCTTTTTTTTTTCTTGAAGTTTTCTTCTACTGAAAAATTAACAATCAACTAAGATCTTTCTTGAAGTACTCTTAATAATAAAAAATGAAAAGAATTCCACGTAATCTGAAAATCTCGTTATCTTTTTTAATATCCAGTTAAAGATTGTAAATCCATTAACTTGTATCTTCTTCCTTTTTTTTATTTTGTTTTATTTATATGTTTGAGTGTAATGTTGAATGCAAAATATTTATTTTGGATGCTATTTAAATATTAAACATAGTATAAAGGATATGTTTCCTTTGCATCCCTATTGATAACGCTTACTTTAAGACGTGGTATGCATGTAATGTAGATGTGTGGAATGCATTATGCTTTATATAACGTATATGTATTTTCTTAATAATCATTTACGTTACTCTTGATAGCATTTATACACAACACTGTATTCCCTTGACAGTAATTATACACCTACTTCACGTGCATCTCCCTTGATAACACTCATAAACTCACTTTACGTGTTAAGATTTACTGTATACATCCACTTCATGTACATGTAAGCATTTGATAACATGTAAACATCCCCTTTATGTATTTATAATCCTTATATTTGTTTATTATAGTTTACATTTATAATTTATAAATGTTTGTATATATATATAAAGTAAAACAACTGAATAAATAAATCATTTATTTAAAAAATCTTTTAATAGTATTAGAAGTTGTTAGAGTGTACATCAATAAGTGATTTTTGCTCTTATTTATTATTTATACAAATGGAGACTTGTATAAATTTTAATTTAATTTTATTCTTATTTTATAGAATACGTAATACAATTAAGTCTACGACTTGAAAATTGAATAATAAAGTGTAAAACATGGTCTTTTTGAATTTAAAATCGTAATCAAATCACTCGAAAGTTGTTATTCTAACGTTAATTTATTCGAAATTTCAAAATATTTTATAGAAAATCAAGAAAAATTATAATTTAGAATGCTACAACACGTAAAATCTGCACCCTTCTATGTCAATTTGACACTTAATCATTACAAAAAAGTGACGTAAAATGACGTAAAAAATGTGATACGAATCGGAAGATAGTAGCACGATACTCTAATATGAAACCATTTGTATGAAATTAACATATAAAAAGTAAAATAGCAGCAGTATGTAAAAACAGAACTCCAGGGTGGAGCATATAAAACGACTCCCGCGTGGATGCTCTCTATCTTTATACTGAAACAGGAGTGTTGTATTATGTAAAATAGAACAAATACAGTATTATATACATATAATTAGATATGCTATTCTTTTAGTTTATATGTAAGACTATATACACACACACGCGTGTATACAAACACTTTATGGATCATTCCTCTTAAATATACGTATACAACCGTTACTTTACGTGCGCGAATCCCCCTTGATAACGTGTATTCATCCATTTAATGAATATATCCCATGATAATGCATATGTGAATCCTCTTGATAACACGTAAACACCACTCAACTCCATCACAATTGCAATGCGCCCACCATCAAAAAACTCCCAAGCAATTTGAGAGGGGAAGAAAGGACCATTAAAAAAATAAACCAAGTTGAAACGAAGGTGATAAACAGCAAATCGGTGCAGCATTCATTCTGTATCATTATTGTTTCATTACTTTACACACCCTTTCTCGGTCACGCATCTTGCCAACGTCACATTAGCCTTGTAAAGGTTAGAAAATGAAGAAAAAAGTCACTGACTACAATAATAAATAAAGTTCCGTAATGACTCCTCTAGAGGAACCATTTTAGATCTTTGACAAGAAATCGTTTAGGAAACTACAAAAGAAAATCGAATTGTAGAGCCAAGAGAGTTGTTTACTGCGTGTAACTTTCTTAAAATGTCAGATATTATTATACTCTATTGTGCTATACCTTTCTAATTTGGATACGTGATCTTCGATAATGACACATAACCATGAAATTAAATTCTACGCCCAACCATACACGCGACTTATACTTTGATGTAACTTACGATCATTTATAACGCATTCCAATAGATATTTTATTATTTTTTACTCTGTCCTAAGAGCTGTAAGAGAACCTTTTATCCAGCCCGTGGGGTGTCGGCCATGTCCGTCACGGGGCAGCCGGGGTGACTGGGAATGGACCACCTTCCAAAAATTCTATATTAGTATATTTACGGTATGGTAGTTTCTCCATTCTCCAAACTGGAGGGTGAAAAGATCGGCTCAGTTAATACTACTAGAAACATCCCAGAAGCTGGAACTTTATATTGACCGTGTCTAAAAGTAAACAAAGCCCGAGGCAAGTCACGTGATTGGACCTTCTTCAACTTCCAGTAGAATGTGGAAGTTGTGTTAATAGTCGATGCAAAAAACATCGCGTGTATCAGTCACGTTTCTTTAATTAACTATATTCTCACAAAATTATTGTTAGGATATGTTATTGTTTATACATAAAAGTAAATTTAATTCGACTTCTCCATTTCTATGACGCTTTTTTAGAGAAGTGCAACATTCCTCTCTTATTCTCGCTTTGTTTACTCAATACTATTTGGAAGTGTCTACAATTACTCAAAAAACTCTTATTTATATTTAAGTTAAATATTTTTGATTTTNGCATACAAAACAGCAATAAGCCTTCACAACCGCATACAAAACAGCAATAATCCTTCACAACTGCATACAAAACAGCAATAAGCCTTCACAACCGCATACAAAACAGCAATAAGCATTCACAACTGCATAGAAAACAGCAATAAGCATTCACAACTGCATAGAAAACAGCAATAAGCCTTCACAATTGCACACGAAATAGCAATATGCATTCACAACTGCATAGAAAGCAACAATAAACCTTCACAACCGCATAGAAAACAGCAATAAGCCTTCACAACCGCATACAAAACAGCAATATGCCTTCACAACCGCATACAAAACAGCAATATGCCTTCACAATTGCACACGAAATAGCAATAAGCATTCACAACTGCATAGAAAGCAACAATAAACCTTCACTATTGAATAGAAAACAGCAATAAGCCTTCATAACAGGCTAGAAAATAGCAATAAGCCCTGACAACTACATACAAAACAGTACAGGAAGCAGCATTTTCATAATGATAATCAACGTTTCCAATTAAGATAACACGCATACAGGATGTTAATTAATAAATTAATCACAATTAACATTTATTATATACATAATAAACCTTATAAAAGCCTCATAACTGCATAAAAAACAGCAAAAAACCTTCACAACTGCGTAGGAAACAGTACACAGGAAGCTGTCATTTGCATAATGACAATCAACGTTTTTTCCCTGGTCAAAAATTCATTTTTACAGCAATTTTCGATAAAAATTTTCATCAAAAAATATGATTAAATTTATTTTTTATTGTACATTATTTTTATTATTATTATTTTTATTATTATATTAACTTTAGCCATTTAAATAAATATATATAACTTAAGTGAATGTTATTATTAAAGAGAGAATTATTTAAAATTAAAAACGTTTAAAATATTCTTTCTTTAGTTTCTTTGGTTTAATTATTAATTGAGTTTATTTTCCAAGTTATAGTTTAACTTTACCTTAATTTTCCTTTAAAATTTTAAACATAATTTCATTTAATTGCCTTCATTTGAGCGAAAAAATTCGCAAATTTCATTAAAAATTACTTCAAAATCACGTTTATTAAAGGTAATTAAAATCGACTTAATTATAATTAAACTTAATATTAATAAATTGACATGAGTTTTGCTTATTTAATAAGACTAAGTAATTGTTCGGGTAGTCCCTCGATTTACGACGATTCGCTTTACAACCTCCGCTTCTATTTTTTATTGTAAATATTGTATTGTAGCTATGTTAAATGTCATATTTAAGTGCCAAACTTTTAATTGGCCCCCTCTCTAAAGTAATTATTTAGTTAAAACCCTGTGTTGTGAAAATATTTACTGTATAGCCCTAAGTCTACAGGAGACATTGGCTCGCTTTACGACGAATCCAATAAAATGAGGTTTAAATCTTCTTCCAGAAGCTGCTTTAATTATAATTAACGACTTATTTAGAAATATTAATCATAATTATCAGCTTCTATATATTATATCAATTAAATTTAATTAAAATGTCTCGAATTAGTTAATAAAATCAATCCTTTAATAATGTTTAAGAGGTTCTTCGAGTGCATCAACTTCTTAAGAATTGAAGCACTCCTGCCACAGTCGATCAGAAGGTAAACAAACTGTGGCGTTAAATCGAGGTTTGATTGTATCTCATTGTTTTGTAAAAATTAAATATATATATAGTGATTAATATATTAATTTTGATTAATTTTTGTAGGAAGACGGCATGAGCCATGAGCATTGTGGAACATTGGTGGGCAGTTTTATGGTCAGTTAGCATCATTTCTCTTGCAACTTGCAATACAGCTCAGCAGAAATGTCCACCCTGGGAACAGTCGTCCTGGTGTCCATGCTACCAATTCGAAGATGGAATTTTCATGGAGTGTTCATCAGTGGGCCTGGTCGAAGTACAGAAGACACTCTCTTTGATATCTTCTTCCATCAAATCACTTAGCATCTTCCACCTGGATAAGAAAATCAAGAGGCTACCTCATCTCTTATTTGCAAACTCAACAATATCTCACTTGCAGATATCCTTCACACAAATACAGCACATAGACAGTAGGGCCTTTGCCAATCTCGAGTATAACTTAGAAGGCCTCTCGATTATAAACAGTCACTTAACTAAGGTCCCAACAGATGCCCTTAACGATTTGCGTGCCTTGAAATCTCTCGATTTAGATTCGAATTATATAAGCCAAGTTTCGGATTATCAGTTCTATGGTTTGCCATTAATTTATCTTAATTTGCAAGATAATTTCATTGATAATTTTACGGATTATTCATTAGAAGGCCTGGAGGAGACGTTAGAAGAATTCATTATATCCGGTAATTTCTTGAAAGATTTGCCTTTTGAGCCGCTAAACGCTTTAAAAAAGCTTAAAATTCTTAAATTAGCGAGGAATAGGATCGAAATTATGAAGAAAAATCGATTACTCAGGCTTAAAGAACTTAGGAATCTCGACTTAAGTTCCAACTTGATCACGAAATTTCATGGTGAAATTTTTCAAGATTTGCTCAAATTATCTACGTTATCTCTTGAAATTAATCGGATAAATTCGATAGAAGGTCCACTTGAACTTCCTGAATTGAAGACCCTTAATATAAGCCACAATCACCTCATAACACTACCCAGGACTGTGTTTTCTTCATTGAACAACCTGCGATTCGTCGACTTGAGTTATAATCACATACACTACATACCGAATGGTGTTTTTCATAATCTAACATTTCTTAAGGAAGTATTTTTATCAAATAACAATATTTTGAAGATATATAACGATACTTTTTACAATGCAACTCACCTCTCGCTCCTCTCCTTAAGTAACAATGTTTTAGATAATTTAGAGGCGGCAACTTTCTATTCTTTGCACCATCTGACACACCTTTACTTATCTTATAATCAATTGAAGCATCTACACCCCCTAATATTTTCAAAAAATCGAGAAATGCAATACTTGGCTCTGGATCACAACGCCATGTCTGAAATCTTTGAAGGTACTTTCGAGGGTACTTCACAGCTTTCAGTTTTAAAACTACAGCACAACTTTATACAGAAGATAAAAAGGAATGTCTTTTACCCCCTTTCGAAACTGGAACGACTCGATTTACAATTTAATCAAATTAACCTGATAGAGCACGAATCGTTTCAAAGTCTCACCAATCTTCGCCAGTTGAATTTAGAGGGTAACCAACTTCTAATTTTAGATGATATCCTGAGAAGGTACCCCTCTAATTTACTGTTTATCAATTTGACACGTAACCAGATTAATAAAATACATCCAAACACCTTTAAAGGGCAGAGTAAATTAGATATCATGTATATGAGCAGTAATAAATTGCCCACGCTTAGCAATTACATGTTCCAAGATTTAGTAGAAGTGAGAAAATTATATTTTGATCACAATTTCATATCAACCATAGAAAATAAAGCCTTTGAAGGCACGAAGAAGGTTGTTTATATCAATTTAGAATATAATAATTTAAGTTTTTTAACCATAGATATGTTTGGAGGTGTGGAGACCTTAGAGGAACTTTACTTGAGCCATAATCAAATAATGGATATAGAGCCACAGACACTTCAGAGTCTACCAAAATTAAGGGTGTTGCATCTATCTCATAATCAAATTTATGTGATCAGAAGGCATATGTTTGAAGGTGGTATGCCACTCGAAGAACTTAGATTATCTAATGTGATGGCTAGTGGTGTTGAAACAGGTTCGTTCTTGGAGTTGTCCTCATTGAATTATCTTGATATCAGCAATAACAGGTTGAATAATGTTCGGGTTCGTTTCTTGTTCCTACCAGCTCATACTTTACCGGGTCATAATTTCACTAAAGTGAACGAAAATTTATTCTATGGTCTTTCTAGTTTGACGAGTTTGGAATTGGAGAACACAGGATTGACTTTAAGCGATCATCTGTTTGATCCTTTACCAGGATTAACGTCGATTAATCTAAATAACAATAGGATTAAGGAGATAAGCATGGAATATTTTAGGATATTCGAATTTTTGACCGAATTACACGCGAATAATAACGAATTAGCAAAGGTGCCAGAAGCTATGAAGATCTTGAAGAAGATTAGAATGGTTTCGCTTTCAAATAATAAAATTTCTGTGATCAAAAATGATACTTTTAGGTCCAATTCTCACTTGGAAAAGTTAATACTAAGCAATAATAATATATATATAATTGAATTGGGTTCCTTTATGCACTTGAAGCACTTAAATTTACTAGATTTGAGGAATAACAGCTTAAGAGATACATCGTTCTTTCCATCATCTTCCTTACGTACAGTTAATATGAGGAACAACAGATTAAAGAGGATACCGAGAGAACTTTGCAGGGGTGTAAAGACCCTCATATTGGATAACAATCGCATAGAAAGTCTCAATAGAGGTAACAGTACTATAGAAAATTCCTGCACTATAACGGAGTTGAGCATCAGGAGTTGTAACATCTCCATCATCTCCGTTCACGATCTTCACGATTTTTCTCGTTTAATAAAGATATTCGCAAGTAATAACTTTATAAAGCTTATTGTACCTGGTTCCTTCCGTCCTTTAAGTAGATTAAAATACCTCGATATATCGCATAATTTGTTAAAAAGTATAGAAAACGACACTTTCGAGGGGTTATCACGTTTGAGAGCTTTAAATCTGAGTTCCAACTTCCTCTCCCGTTTGACTCCTTTCGGCGACTCTTTAGAGAATTTGGAGGCTTTAGACTTATCCTATAATAAATTAAGTGTTGTAGACGATAATTTTTTCGCAAATCTACCGAATCTACAAACGATATCCCTTAAGAGTAACATGATTAGTTGGTTAGCACCCAACGCATTCAAGAACCAAGTGCACTTAAGCCAGTTGGACTTGAGAGATAATAAATTGTCCTATTTGAATCAAAATATCTTATCTACCATTGAAATAAAGCTGAAAGAAATATATTTATCAGGTAAAGTAAATGTTCTTTATATTTATATATATATATGTATGTATATAATTTCCATTTATATAAGTTCTGATACATGGAACAACTAAGATTCATCAGCACCTGATCATCTGTACTTTGAAGATAATCGCTTGTTTTGATAAATGTTGCTTTATCTTACAAATTTACAAGAAAAATGGAAAAGATAAACACTAAAATATATTTTTATATGTCATGAAACGTGTGTTATAAGGGTTCTGATAAAGATAAATAATTGTTGAGTATTATAAATGATCGTCCCCTTTAAAATAAACGTTATAAATATAGCTATAAGATATTATCTTATAAAGTTTAGAGTTATTCGAGAGCCGTGTGTCTTCTTCCACTTCTCCTTTTTCTTTTTTTGTATGGTGAAGGCACTCGTGAGCAGTATATTTTGATACGGATGACAGGTTTAGTGACCTTTTATCGGGTTTTTCTCTCCTAGACTTTATAAATTTAATCGAATTAATAAAAATATACCCCCGTCATTGATAATTTCAATAAATCCCTGCATTATTCCTTAATTATGGGTCTATTCTATGTATAAATTCTCTCTAAGTATACTGTTTTAGAGATAAATCTTGGACAGGCGCGAACCCGCGACCAACGAGCTAGCCACGTGGAATAATTCCAGGTTTCTTTCATAACAAGTTTGTTATATAAAGCCCCTTGGCAGATTTCCCAAGTGTTGCTTCACCTAATTCTATCAATTCCTTTACAAGAAACCTCCTCCAGTTCTTCAAGAACTTCAGATATCATAATAGATCCTTCAATTAATTAATTAATTTTAATTATATCACAACAGGTCCTTGACCAAGTATCTCTTTTAACTTTCAAGTAAAATAGTCACAAACAATTAATCAATTTTAAATTATTTTCCAGGTAATAATTTACATTGCGACTGCGAATCCTTAAAACTAAGAACGTGGATCTTCGAGCATCCATCTCTGTTCAGTTCTTCCATGGATTATCTATGTCATACGCCGGATAATCTAGCATCTAAATCACTATCGACTCTCAAAGAAGAGGAAGTGTGCCCGGATCCTAGGATACTATACGTTCGTGCCGTGAACGTTAACAAAAATCAAGCAATCGTTAGCTGGGAGATAACAGGAGAAATCGATAAACTCATCTTAACTTACTATAAATTCGGGGATAAAGAAAAATTAAAGAGAAACTTAAGCGTTGATTTGAATTACGAAAAAATCAATGACTTAAATTCTTCATCCCATTACGTTGTATGCCTGATGTTGAAGGCAAGAAGGAGGCATCAGATAATTAAGAGCGAGGAGTGTACAAAGTTCGACACTTCGATCGATCATCGAATCATCCAGGATGATGAATTACCATTAAATTATGTTATTATAGGATCGATTTGCGGCTCGATTTTTGTAATAGTCATTATATTAATTATACTAGCAATTTATAAACGAAGGAAGAAATCTTCATCTCATCAGGATAGACAACCTACGCCCCCTCCTTAATTAAAAAATAATAATAATAATAAATTAAATTAAATTAATAATTTATTTGAACGAAATTATCTTGTTACATAAAAATATCGAATTTCTTAAACACAGAAATCGGTTTAAAATAATTATTTTTTAAGTTAATTTCTCTTTAAAACGGAAATTGGGGTGGCCCATAAATCACTTGACCATTGTAACATGCAGATTCGAACCCCTTAGAATCTGTTAATTTCCTTGAAAAAAGCGGCAAACTGACTTTTGGGCCATCCTGTAAGGGTGGCCCAAAAGTCGGTTGACGGTTTTTAATTCCTTCGGGCTGTAAAATTTGTTCGTTCTTTAAGGAAATCACAAAGCGCAAAAGATGCGGTTACCTGACTTTTGAGCCACCCTTTATATTATATAATATATTACAATTTTATTCATATTTATAAAACGAAATAAATTTTTATTATCAAAAATTTCAATATACATTTATCACTAGAACACTTTAATAAAAATATTGATAAAAATTTAAATATTTATAAATATTTATATTTAAAATAATATAAAATTCAATANTCTGTAAAATCTCCCTAATTTATAAGATTACCTTAGTTTAAAATTTCCCTAAATTGACATTTTCGTTTTCTTGGGGATTAAAAAATAGGATTTGTTTGTAAAAATAATTTTTAATTATCTTACAAATTAAAAAAAAAATTACAAACTTTTATATAAAAAATTCTCAAAAATTGCTACTGAAAAATCCCTAAAAATGTTATAACTGATAAGAAAAATCCCTACTTCAGGGATTTTTTTTCTTATTAAGAATAACATATTTCTCCAAAGAAAAATTTTTAGGGAATATTTTCTCAAAAGATTTTCCCTAAAAAAGTCCCCAAATCTTTTAAGTTAGGGATTTTTCGTAGATTTTAGGGATAAAAATGAATAAAAATTTTTTAAATACTTCAAATCGTAAAAAATAATTTTATAAAGTATTCTCTTTTGAAATTTAATATTAAAAATTGAAAAAAGTAATATAAATTTATATAAACATTTTTTTTATTATAAAAATTTAAGGAAAAAATATATATGAAAATTAGTCAAAAGATAAAACACCCGTTTAAAAATTATGTAAATCAAGGAATAAATAAAAAGAATTTTCCGTATATAACGCACACATTTCTGATCGCATTCTTTTAAATATGCTAAGGACAAGTTTCAATTTAAAATATCATTTGCTTGCATGACAACTAAAGAATACTTTTGAAGAATATTTAAAAAGATATCTGAAAGAGAAATGTGGTTTCCAAATAGAATTTATTTGGAAACGAAAATTTACAGAATACTAAATAAAATTCTCCATTCAACTTACAAAGTATTAAAACAAATCCCTCGTTGGCACAATATAAAGTATGTGTATAAGTGTAGAAAGTGAGAGAGAACTTTCACTTTTTGATTGTCCCTGCAGCGCTTAATGTGCTGAAAAGGTAAGGAGGAGGAAAGAGGAAAAAAAATACCTCATGCACAGTTTTAAAATAGGATTTTCTTAGTTCCCTTCGTTCTTTTTTTTTCTGTTCCCCTCCTCTTTAAAATATTCCTTGTGAATTCTTGTACTCAGGAGATGTTGCGGATCGATTGTTTTCTAAAGAGTGAAAACCTGAATTTGAACTACTTCATTCGACACTTACATTCTCTATTAAATTCTATTTTCTTTTATTGTGTTAATATATATATATTTTTTTTCTTCTTCTTCTTCTTCTTTTTAACTTTGAAGATTTATTGGGATGAGTTATTCGCATCACTATTCAGGATATTAATAAATATTTATTGGGGGTTAATCGGAGGAAATTGAATTTATCCTGTAATATCATCCCCCTCTTTGTTGTATGAAATTTGTATATCTATTCCTGCGATACCTGTTCTACTCCCTGTTCGATTAATATTTACTTTCCTCTATATTGATTCCAACTTTTTGTCTGTATGTCATCTAAATTTTAAATTACTGTATATTTAATTTTTCGCCATTCATGTATACTAAGTTATTGCATGTTGATATCTAACGGTTTATTTCACGTACTGGCCTCTTAATAAAGTAACAGGAACAAGCAATGTGGAGTTTCCAGCATACAAAGGTCATAGTTAAACCTAGAATTATTTATTTTTTTAATTATTTTAACCAAATGCATTTTGACCCAAGGTCTTCTCCAGTGTATACAGCGTGTCTATAAGAATTTTAAAGATACAAAACTTGAATGACGCAGATATAAAAATTATATAAACATACTATAACATGAATTCAAACTTAAATCATGTATTGATTTCTAAAATAGGTTATATTCCGCAAAATTTATGAATACAATCTGGGTTAATATTGTTTTTTGCTTTATAATATGAAAGTTCTGTTGATAAACGTACGCAGAAACCTATCTGGATAGATCCCCGCTTACATACATACGAAAGTGTGTCTATATATATCATACACCTTTCACACACCACTCTGCATATATCTAAACTATGCACATACATACCCTTTGCACACCACACACTCATATACCTACACATACTAAAAATTGTATATATTTGTCAGCAGTTCCTTTTTTTGACTTTCTTCGGGTGTCCAGGCTCCCTTGTCTTCTCTGTTATCAAAACTCATTATGGCATACCGAAATATCAATATATTCTATTCTCTTCCTCCTTAACAGTATATATGGATAACAGAATATTCGTGTTATTATATCTCACGAATATATGAATTTCTTAAAAATACATCATTAATATATTTATTTTCGTTTCATTTCATAAATATACATATTTTTCTCTTCATTAAAATTTATTCATCATAAATATATACTACGAATGGATAAAACCAGTGAACACTGGTAGTTGGTCGCGGGTTCGCGCCTGATCAACCAGCCGGCTATTCGGAGATTTCAGGGTTTTCTTCACCAGTCTAACACCTAAATAAGAGCCAGTTTCTCATAGAAAATGTTTTCGGGAAGCATCCCCTTTTGGCCGATCGCCCATGTATTTGGGCGATCTTCCAAGAAGGTTTTGGAATTGATTGAAACTTTTTAGTTCCAATATAAGAACCATAGTGATAAGTAATTATAGTAACAAAACAATTTCCTGTGCAACTACAGTACAATTTAAATCAACCTTTATGCCTTGTATTACCTCCTCTTCTCTTGATACATGATACGATTGCCCATATCGGCACGCAGGTACTGCCATACAGTCAGATTAGTTCATAGATGTTGCAAATGCCAATTCACATTCCTCAGTCTTGTAGATAGCGGATGCTGGTGTCCTATCTAGTGTTACAAATAATTGGCGCCCCATCGTTAGACATATGAAAGAAACTCGAAAAACTCCAAGTGGCCAGTCGTTGATAAGGCTCGAACCTACGACTAACCAGTGTTTAGTAGTTTTTTGCTTCCTCAGCCCAATGATTCCGCTTTTCTCAAACTCCATCTGTTGTGTGTACAGTAGACTCCCCTATAACACTGTTGATAATTCCGTGTTATATGAATTCCATGTTGTACGAGTCACTTAGATTTTACAAATACGTGTGCCGGGCTGTGAATGGCTCACGTATTTGTAAAATCTAAGTGACTCGTACAACATGGAATTCATATAAAACGGAATTATCAACAGTGTTATAGGGGAGTCTACTGTACACACAACAGATGGAGTTTGAGAAAAGCGGAATCATTGGGCTGAGGAAGCAAAAAACTACTAAACACTGGTTAGTCGTAGGTTCGAGCCTTATCAACGACTGGCCACTTGGAGTTTTTCGAGTTTCTTTCATATGTCTAACGATGGGGCGCCAATTATTTGTAACACTAGATAGGACACCAGCATCCGCTATCTACAAGACTGAGGAATGTGAATTGGCATTTGCAACATCTATGAACTAATCTGACTGTATGGCAGTACCTGCGTGCCGATATGGGCAATCGTATCATGTATCAAGAGAAGAGGAGGTAATACAAGGCATAAAGGTTGATTTAAATTGTACTGTAGTTGCACAGGAAATTGTTTTGTTACTATAATTACTTATCACTATGGTTCTTATATTGGAACTAAAAAGTTTCAATCAATTCCAAAACCTTCTTGGAAGATGTGAAGACCCAACCGAGGTCCGAATCATGTAAATCGCGATATTCCTATGATTAAATAATAACGATAGATTAATTANTTATATATATAAATAAAACGTAAACAATATATTAAGATTTATATATAATATTTCGATTAAAACTTTTACATATTTACATATTATTAACGCCATAAAATTTACACAAAATCATTGTGTAATTTTTATGGAATGGAAATATGTATATATGCAGCAAGTACTGGTATTCTGTACTTGCTGCAGAATACCAGTACTTGCTGCTCTTACTCTTTCTTTTAGCTCTGTTATTGGATCTAGAAAACGTCACGTGATAGCTTGAACCAATCAAATAAAACATTGTAATTTTCAAAATATAAAATCAAATTGTATTTTTTAAAATAATATTTTTATCGTCTAAATAGCATCTTAAATGTTTACTTTCTCTCTCGGTCTTTCTATTAAAAAGTATTTTTTGAAGGAAAATGAGAAATACAGCAGACTTTTCGCTCCATGAACATTAAGGTCTTATTCACTAGGGGCTCTGACAGGTCCACAATAAGGGTGAGACTTAACATATCAGGGACAGATAGCCCATGAAACATTCCTGAAGTTGCTGACTCCGATTCGATTCCAGATCGCCCAGAACGTTAGGCTGAGGCTTTGATCATCTCGTTCATGAATTATTAAATTTTGAATTACTTATGATTTTACCATAGGCTTGATGGTAAAAGCAATGGCCCTACCTCTCTGTGGATCCGATTTTCAATCTAAGTCCTACCCTCACAAATTTTCCTGGATGATATGATCGGAATACGTCAGAACCCATCCTTCATTGTTCATGTAGATCGGCCGAATTCATGTTCAGCATGAATAAAGGTCTCTTTTATGCGTCAAAGATTTGAAACAGGACATATTAAATAGTATACAAGTATATGAATTTATACATAGATTTCCTCATTGGTCCGGCCACGTGTTTTTTAAGGCCCAGTATATGAAAAAAGCAGAATAGCTGTGAAAAACTAGTATTGTAATTTTTAAGTAATTAATTTAGTAAATATTTTTGAGGCCCCGCAATGTGAGGTACAAGCCAAATAATCATGCAGATTCTTCCTGTAATTTGATTGATAAACGAAAGTTTATTCATTAGTTTTTTTTAACAATTACATTGATCAGATGGCACCATCATAACCACACCATGACAAAAAGTATTGTCTTTAGACACGCTTACTTTATAAATTTAAAACGAATAATAAATGACGGTATGTTTCTTTTATTCAAACAAATAAATATATATTACATATAAGTCATTTTTCTATATACAAACAATAATTTCTTTTTGTAAGCTGTAATATCACAATATACTTTACGTAAGACGAAATTACATCGTACAATCGATAATTTCGTATTAATATTGACATAGAGATAAAGGAAAACAAAAAAGAACAATTACTTTCTTAGTTTTGTTTTATTGGATTACATATACTGAATCTAAGAATATTATACAGAAATTCTTTTCTATTTAATATTTGAATCCATTTAATTATCTGTTCAATGGATCTGATCCAAATATTAATTTAAAGAAGAGATACAATAATTTACAGTATAAAATTCCTATGGATGGAATGAGAATAGTTTTAGAAAATAGTAATATTCATTTATTTTAAAATAATACATATACAATTTTCAACATAATCAGCATTTAGAATGATACGATTTTTTTCCAAATGTTCAATCCATTTCGGCATTCCATACATAGAAAATGTTCTGATTTTTGTCGATCCATTCCCATGCACCAGCTTGAACTTTGGCATCTAATAAAAAACGTTGATCTTTCAACATCGCTTCTAATTTTGGAAACAACTAAAACCCTTCCGGTTCCAGATCTGAACTGTGCGGACGATGTATAGTCTAATAACCTGCAATTTCGAGTTCTAAATTGTCTTTCCTGTCGACTTACTGAAGTGTGTCTTGCATTATCATAAACTTTTTCTGGCTATACTTCGCGAATATCTCTTTTGATATTTGTAAGGTTTTGTAATATTTTACCGAATAATGCTAACTGTACAAACCTTTACGCTTGCCACTCATCAATTTTGTTAAAATTTCACAGTAAGAGTCTTGAACTAAGATTCGCAAAATATTGTATCTGAATGTTTTGTGGTTCCCGAGATAGAAGCCTTGATTTTGAAGTCTCTCCACTCTTCACTCGCGCGGCGGGCAGATGTTTAAACTTTGACTATTGCGCAAACGACACAATACAAATTTGTGGTTTAAATCAAATAAAATATGGCGACTCCCGAACATCCATATTCGAATCTGATCAGTATCACGAAAAATTTTTCATGCATGATCTATTCTCACCATTTAGCTGTCATCATTGAAAGCATGGCCGAACCCAGAATGAGTACGATTTAACATAGTACTTATTTGGAATGGGCCATACTTTCATTGACAGCTTGAGGTCATTTGTATAATTTGTGGCTGTATGCCAGTTTGATGTAATTACAGTGGAGCCTCGATATCCGACCCCCGATTAACCGACACCTCGGTTAACCGACCGTCCTAGTCGGCAAATTTCAAATGTCCTCTAGTGATGTGGCTCTACAATATTCGGCTATGTCTTGGCTACTTTAATATTATTTTTACGTGTTTTAGCTGGCAACACTGGATCGACCATGAAAGGGAGCCAGTATTTAAACAAGGCTTAATTTTATAATTTTTAACAATACAATAGCGACGATTATTATTTTAAAAAATTTTTGTTAGACTTAACATCGATGAAAATTCAACGCGAAGTAGGTTAGTAGCGATATACTAATATACTAATTACATGGGATATAATAATATACTACACTAATAATGGATTTTTTCATACTTTTCGGTTATCCGACCAACCCCAGTCCCCAATTGGGTCGGATAATCGAGGCTCTACTGTATTAAATTTTTTAAAGTTTAGGCAACTTTTAATTAAAATGGTATCAAAATGATTTAAAGGAGCAAAACAATCATCCAGTTTACCGGGTTCGAATCTGAGTCAGTCATCATTCGGGGAGACCTCGTCCATCATTATCCGGCCATTCCCATTGAAAGTTAAAGCCACGGCAGGAATGAAAAAAGATCATGTTCCACAGAGTAAAAACATTAGATTCTAAACCAATTTAAAAAAACAAATATTCTAAAAAAATCTTAATTTAAAACTTTAGATAATAGCCGTGTTATCGAGTGCAAAAACGTAATGTTAAAATTTAGATTGTGTTTAATAAAATGTAATTAGGTTCGTATAGAATAAGAATTCTCTCCCTAGACTGGCAACACTTCTCTTTCATTTCGGAAAATCTGCCATCTGACGGTAAGTACGAGAAGTGAAGAAAGCATGGTGGATGGAGGCTGGGAATTGAGTTAATCGTATTTATGTTGTGTTTTATTACCGATTATGGCGGAAAATCTAGAAAAAGTATTGACAGATATTAAATCGCAACCTTGGAGCTTATTAACAGTAAATAATCAGCAATTACTTTATAAAATATTAACCGATTCTATTTGTTATTGTATACTATTGACTGATTTGAACAGCATTTATTATGAATATTTATCCGGTTTAGAAATCGAGAGGAAATTTTCGGTGAGTTTTTGACGTATAAAATGAAAATTCTAGTATACGATCAGCTGATTGGTTCATTTAATGTCAATTTCCTTTATCGATGCAATAAAAATGTCTGTTTCATTTAAATCTGTAATTGTTTATAGACTTAATTAAAAGCGTTAGCATTATTATAATTATTTCGACTAAAGAATAACAAATCTCTAAATCTTTAAAAATAAACTTAAGGGTTTACTAGTTTAATTAAAGATTAAGGATTTGATGCACAGGAAATGAATGCTGGACTAGAAATGTCATTAAGTAGGATTCTGTTACAACTAAAGAAAGCTTTAAAGGGATTAGAAAATGGAGATTCGCAAAATCTTTGTGTAACAAGAGAGAACGACGAATACTTAATCAAGATGGAAACTCTGCTGGCCGGAATACCCTTCTCGTGGACATTCGCTTTAAAGGAAAACAGGAATATACGGGTTATTTCATTAAACTTAATTCTTATTTAGTTAAGGTTGTAGCTTTGAATCAGGTGGTCGGGACCTTCTCAGAGATGTAGGAGTAAAAAAGTCACATACGACCCTTTGCGAGATACACTGGTGTAGTATATAGTGTATATATTATTGTGGCCTCCTCTTATAAACTTGATAATACTACTTACTCATATGTAATATTTTTGTAAGTTTCCTGACTATTACATAGTGTAATATACGCAGGGATTGTAAGTGTAACTTAACCTCGAACGTGCAACTGAAAGCTTAAAGTACATTCATAAAGTCAAAGAAATTAAATGATTGTTTACTTAGTAGAGTATTTTATCTATTCATAAATCAAATAGAAGATGTGTGTGTCTTGTGTATTTTTAATAGGCAGTATATAGCTCCTAATATATGTAGGTACAATGGCATTTCTTGTGCTTTATGAGTTTTTAACAGTCTCTAGTAATGTGGAAAGCAGTTGATTTTTAGCATTGTTTAGCGAATAATTCTGATTTTTTCACTTTTAACTCTACCCCATTTTTGAGGTTCTTTGAAATTCCAGATTTTGGGAGCTACGTCTCATGAAGGTCACTTGATTTCTTTTGATTTACTTCTATGAGAATAGTCAACAGCTCTGATAACGTCCCAACCAAACCAAATTCAGAGCTGCAGTTTTACCATTATTTATGTTGTAGAAATCAATTAACTGGGATATATTTTAAGATTAAATGAGTTTTAGGCCTCCTGTATTTATATAGGTATATAAGAAAATTGACTTTATTTATTTATACAGATGAAAGATCACTTATTGATTCCGTGTCTAGGAATGATTGCAGAATTACAACAAAGACAAGCTTGTCTGCTATCCATTATAGAGAAAAAAGATCTAGAAATTGAAGATTATAAAGAACAAGAAGCCAAAGTATCTAGAAGTATAACTATATTTACTATTTATTACAGAATTAAAATGTATTTTGATTTACAATGTTGTTCTCTTTTAGAATATTTGGAGACGAAACCATTTAATTCTCATCAGTTTTTTCAAGATAGAAATAATACAGAGGTAATTTTTTGGTATATTTTTCTGAAATTTTTAGCATTAATCTTATAATATCTTACAATTAGGTATTAGCTAGAACTATAGAAGAATCTTTTATAAGAGTATTTAATGAAGAAAACAATGACTTGTATACATCGGTGGTTTCTGCATTTAATGAAGTTGAAGGTATGTGAATGTGTTTGTTTTATATAGTCCTTTAAAGGAATTGCACTACTTTAACACATGATGAGCTTTGCTTTAATACTTTTCCTTTATTTTTAATCTTTGGATCTTTGTCCTGCGGGCAGTAAAACTGCCTTCATTCCATACCCGTTGTGGGTTTGACCAGATCCACGCAAGGGATGGAGTCTGACATATCCAAAACAGACCATCCACAAAAACTTCCTGTTTCCTGGATCACGCAAGGGATGGAGTCTGACATATCTAAAACAAACCATCCACAAAAACTTCCTGTTTCCTGGATTTTATCTCAAGTCCCCAGAGCAATAGGCTGACACTAAATCACCTTGACCAATGAATTAAGTACATAATGACTAAAGAATGCTGGAGAGATGATCGTAGGATATACATTTGTAATGACACACACTATTTATTTATCAATACGTGTATAATGAATCTTTATGTCACAGAAAAGTAAGTTCAAATGACTGCCGTTACTAGTGATAAAAACGAAAACTGGTGGAGCACCATCTGTTGCAAGATATTTTATAATTTTTACATTATTAATTAATTATAAAAAGGCAAAAAGGTTTATTTTTGAGAGTGGATTGATTTTCTAAAAACAATTGTAAATACCAATAACTAAAATTTTCCACAAGTCTTACCCCACTCAATACATGACACGAGACAGTCTCCTTATTCTCACTTCCTTGACCTTTAACTACCAAATCTATAGCATCAATATATATATAGGGTGATTCAAAAAGCTAGTCTCAAACTTCAGGAGCATATAGAGGGGTTAAAATGGAACAACTTTCGAATAGGAACCTGTGTTTTCTGACATAATCCTGAATTGTTACAAACTGTGGAAAGCTCTCTGAATTACCTCTTTTGGCATATAAAAAGTCTTTTTTGAGACACTAGTGGATGAGCAGGAAACAATGTTAGCCAGATTTCTTGCAATGGCAGATGTGGTCAGGGAGATGCCTAAGATATTTGAGAGGAATGCAGAGTTTCCTTTGAAGATACAATACCTGTGGTGAACATTACATCTTTGAAGTGTGGGAGTTGCCAATTCAAATAACTTTTGTAACCGCACCATTTCATATGTACTATATTTATGTTTGTAAACTCTGTTTTGTTATTAAACATTTGTTCATTGGTATTTTTATGTTGTCACACTATCTGCAGTATAGATCCTTACTTTCCATGGGTTTACTGACTCAATTGCATCACTGAATACAGATTCTCACCCCCTCTCAATCATACTGTAGAAATAATCCTGCCTAGTTCCAAAATGTTTAGTGTATCTAGTTCTATAACTTACCACCAAAACTTACCAGTTTATATCTTACCACCAAAAGTTTTGGTTGTAAGATATAATGAAATATAAACTATATAAATATTATAATTTATTTCTAAAAATTAATTATATATTCAGCAGCATAATTATTATGTTAATATTTTCATTTTACATTCTGCCTATATGATACACACATCATTACATATTGACATATCTGGAGGATATATATGTTAAGTGTGTGAAAGTGTGTGCTGTGAAAGACCGAAATTAGAGAATGTCGATATTCTCCAGTGAATGTCGACACATACAAAATATGTCAGCAAAAGACCGAATATTTGGTTTTATTATTATACATTTGAACAATCTCCAGTGTATGTCAACAAGCACAGATAATCTTTTTATTGGAGGTCGAAATGACACCTGAGAAGCCAATGTCGACACGCTGTCATTGCAAAAAGAAGTGTTCCACAAATAAATGCAGTTATAAAAGCAAGGGACTCTTGTGCAATTCAAAGTGCCATAACAATTTAAGTTGTTGCAATAAATAAGATTGTATAACGTTAATCACATAATTTATGTGTAAGTTTATTATTGTATTATTTTCTTTAATGATTTAGAATGTGCTGTTACTTAAGCTTTCTCCTATTTTGACATATTAAAAAGTTGCACTTTTGTCTTAATGTAATAAAAATATTTTTATTCAACATTCACCATCAGTGCATGCTGAATGTTGACATTTGCCAGTGTAAGTGAGAAATAATGATATTTAGCAAATATTTCGTACATACACGAAACGACTGTGTGAATGCTGATGTTCACCGGAGAATTTGACATTCGCCAAATATCGGTCATTCACAGTAACATATATATATAAGACAATTCCAAATGAATGATACACTTTCATATGTATATTATTGAATATATACAGAATGGGAAAGAAAATCACTTAACACCCTTGCTACAGAATATAGAATGTAACCAAAGTTAATTCGTTTGTGTCAGGAAGACAGATTGATGTGTGTAACACACATTAATCTGTCTTCCTGACCCCCTTCATATGGCCTTCAATATGACCACCATCTTGTTGGCAGCCATATTGAATGCAGTTCTAAAACGCTAAATGTAAAGGGGGTCATGTGACACATCATTTAGGGTCAGAATTTCTCAAGGAATTGATTGCTTGCGTCTTCTTCTGCCATTAACACTGAAAGATTTTTATTGACTTACACTCACAGTTAGAGTTATGCAGTTACATGATGTGCTCAATGTACATTTTTTGGGTATGTTCTATATTCTGTAGCAGGGGTGTTGAGTGGTTTTCTTTCCCTGTATAATCAGTGAGCCTTTGATCATATAATATGAATCATTCTCTAGTTTAGTTCTGAGACTTTGCTTCCAAAACTTTCAGTCCGGCAGTGTAGACAGTTTTGCTGAAGTACTGTTACTATGCCTGTCCTTATACAACAGCCTCCTAAATAATTTCTCTGGGAGTATGAAAAAGACATCATTTGTAAATCACCCTTTTACATGATTATTTATTTAAGAATTAAAGCATTAGATTAATTCTGTGATGTTCGAAAGACGGAGAGAATGAAAATAAAATTGATTATTGACTTGATTTCTGCCATACGACATTGAATACCAAACTTTGAAAGTTATTCTAGTGATTACTAATTCACTAATTTCTTAATAAACAAACATAAGAAAGAGTATCATTTATTTTTTAATTGCTCTGTATACATTTATATGCTGTTAAGATTTTTAAAGTTCTTTTCGCATTGATTCAAATAATTAAGCTATAAATTAATAAGAATCATTTTGATGCTTCACACATCCTTCCACATATGAAAACAATTAACACAAGCAGAGTCTATCTTTCCTCTGAGGCTCTTCTCTTCTTATGAATATGCAAAATGTTTTTCTTCAATTTTTTTAAATATATTTCATACTGAATTTTTTAAAAATTTTCAAGAATCATTTTATTTATTTAAAGCAAAAGCCGCTCTTTATGGAAATGAAACAGAAACATTAATGGCAGAAGAGGATTTAGCCAGACAAACTCAGCCCATGACTCAATCAAAAGAAGAACTGAAAGAACAAGAAAAGGTAAAGAAAAAATATATGATGTGTTTGTAACAGAATAATTTTGTGTAATTAAAAAATTTTAATATTTCAGAATTTAGAAATCACTAGGAGAAAGGCATTGGAAAAGCAATTATGTTCGACACCTAAAGCAAAAAAGAAGAAAATCAATTTATGATTTTATGTATAGGCCTCTTCTGTAGGATTCTCTATTTGAAACTTGAATTTGTAAATACAGTTTTTTTAATTTACAATGAAAATACCTTGAGATTAAATAAGAAAATCTGACTTGATAAGGCCTTGTTATTTAACATATATATAGGGTCCTTGCACGTCCACATAACTGACAAATGCAGATGGCTACAGTTACTAACATAAATTACGTGCTACACAATGAGACCACTTGTGGCACCTCCAGTGATAAAATTTAGAAGTTTGCACTCCCTTCTCAAAAACAATACACAATACAGGAAAAAAATCTACTACAAAATTATAGACCATGTATAAGCATGATTTAGTATGAAAGGACAAACTGTGTACATGAAGAGCACGAAATGTAGCGAGAGTGCAGACAGTAAAATGTGTATTTCTTGTGTGTTTTTAGAAAAATAAACAGCCAAAATTTACAACAGGTTTGTATTACACTTTTACGACTTGTTTCGGATTTTGCTAAATATCTGTATTATGAAATTTTCGTTAATTTATATTATTATTTGTAAATGTTACAGGCTAAACTAGTTTATCCTACGCATGTCAGGATATACTAGATTATCCTAGGCCGAACTGATTTATGTACTACAAATAGACGCCAGTGTAAAAAAAATGATTTTGTGTAATTCGAAATGCCACCACAGTACACCCGGTGGTTAAAGTGTACCTAGGTAACCCCAATGGCGGTGTTTCAATTAGGTGGTTTGGTTAGATTAACTACATTTTTAGTAGACGTTTCCTTTTTTTCTTTTGTTCAAGAACTACTGTGAAACAATAACTAGTGATGTTAAACAATGGGCGGCGTGCTGGCGGCTCCCCTCCAGGAGCATGAACAGTCCAAAGTGCCGCCATTGGGCTTACCTAGGTACACTTTTATTTATTTTTGCAGGGTGGATTAAAGATTAAATATTTTATATGTTACACTAAGAAACACAAACAAGTTCGTTTTTAATTTGTTTGACTTTAAAAGTTATTTTTATTATTTCGTTTGAATTTTTGAAAATATTTTCGAAAGTTAATTACCTTTAAAAGTGCATGGCTTAATAAAAAAAAAATACAAACTGATAAGTAATGATTAGCTTATTTTTATTTTATAGTTTTGTACAAGTGTTGTGTCACTTCTAATCAATACTGTTTTTTATAATTAATAAGTAGACTATGTTTGAATAAATATTGTTCATCTAATTGATTGCCTTTTATTTTAACCATTAATATACTTAAATCAGGCCTGGCCAACCTGCGACCTGTCACATTAAATTTTGTGGCCCGCTAAGCAATATTATATTAATAAAATCTATTAAAACTTTTGTTTTCCATTTTGTGTATACCAAAACAATTAAATAAATGAAAATTTGTATGTGTCATTGTTATAATGCACAAGTGCAAGTATGAACTCTTGGTATAACAATGAAATCTTATTCATTTTGTATTTGTTTTACTTTTTTAAAAGTATATTTGCCTAAATTGTGGCCCATTGTAATGTTACGCATGATCAAAGTGGCCCGCGAAACAATTTGGGTTGGCCAAGCCCGACTTAAATAATAATTCTAAATCAGTTCAACCTAGGCCAAACTAGATTGTCCTAGGCTAAGCTAGTATATCCTGACACGCGTAGGATAAACTAGTTTGGCCTGAAATCGGGTTTGGATGGTAACATGAACATAAATAATAACAACATGCTGTTATATTTAACTGTAATTTTTGAATGGAAGGGTCATCGTATTGGTTATTATTTTGGTTAATGATCACTTTTCTTTTGCTATTTCTGTGTAAATATCAAATAAATATAAATCTATTTATACTAATGTAGAGTACCTTTCTGGCTTTCATCAGTTGCATTCTTTGCACTACCATTTTGACAATAATAAATAAGGAATAATTTTTTAGTGCTGTAAACAAATTAATTAATTAAAATATTTCTTTTTATCAACCACAATTTCAAATTTTGAATATTTGATTTCTTGCACCACAATCAACTTGAAAGTGAGAAAATATTTTTTCCACAATTAGTCTATACAAATATATTTTTTCCAACAGTAACCAAAATATATTTATTTATAACAAAAATATCAAGGCAAATTCAAATATTAATACTTCACATAACATTGATTCCTCCCATTATATTTACGGGCCGATTCTTGTAACGTTTTGAAATTTCTCCTTCAATCTGAAAAGTTTTATTGAAATATTTAGTAATTATATAAAGATGTTAGTATATTTATTAATACAATTACCTGTTTTTGTAGCTCTTTTGTCTTTTCTATAATAAGACACAATTTCGGTTCGAGTTCTTTCTGTTCGGAAAGCATTTCTTGCCTTTTAAGAATCACATTGGCTTGAGATTCCATCATTTTATTTACGAGAGCAAGTTTCTGTTTTAGTAAATCCGTCAATCGTTCCACGTACCTATAAAAATAGTAAAGATGTAAAATTGCTTAGTAATACTTTAAAATTATGGAGATGTAAATATTTACTTAGGTGAACTTTTTATCAGATATAAATGCTGCAACTTTACGGTCGACATTTCGGATATGATATGTCTGACATTAGAGAGCATTTCCTGAATATCTCCTGTAGTTTGTAACTGAACGATCGAAGGAGCCGAATGAAACTGGTTTGCCAACAGAACATCTTCAGAACTTGACATCTCTACAAGTCTCTGTTGTAAGAATCCTTCCAGCTGAAAAATATCTTCATTTTTTAAAAATATTCTAAAGTAATTAAGGAAAATAAAACTATGGTAACATGATGGTAACAGAACCAACTTCCCAAAATGAAAATTTGGTACTGTAGTTATTATTATATTATATCCTTGTAGCTTCTGTAACTGAGAGTAAATAAAGATAACATACACTGAAAGTATTTTAAAATAACTATTTAGTAATTAATTAAAATGATTAATAACCTCCATTAATTCATTCAAAAAATTATTCCTTGTCGTCGGATTATCCAATATACTAAGAGCATCATCTCCTCTAGCAACTTTTCCACCTTCGCCTACAAATAAAAAGTCAATAATAAGATAAAAATGCAATAGTAATTTGGTAAATTGATGAAAAAGAATGGAATTAGGGAGAGACGTTTACAAGATTTCATAAGAATGGTCAACAGATAAGACATTTAAATTAGTGAAAAAATTTTTAAATGAACAGAATCTGTAAATGATGAAGTATGATGTTGCTCCTTGTCATTATGCCTAAAATATTTGGATTATATGAACGAATGTTTTACAAATCACTGCATCAGACACAAGAATATTAGGTCTTGATCAGCTAGATCATCAGATTCAAACCGTACCAGTACATCTGACTGTCATACAAAGAATAGGAAATGGAAAATTTATGTACATTCTGTACAAAATTATTTCATTTTTTAGTCTTCATAGTTATATAAAGAATACTATATTATCAATATAAGTTCATTGTACATAATCAACCAAATATACAAACATCCGCAATGTTTTTGCAATGGGATTTTAATACTTGCCACAGACTCACTATGGACTTCACTCGCTCATTGATGAGCTAGTCCATGATGAGTAGTGAAAATAAAGCTCTAGCACAAATACCCATAAAAATCATGAATATTCAAATGTGTAGCTTAATAATGACAAGATTTCCAAGATAAATATTGATTTTTGGAATTTATTAAATTTATTACTTTCAAAATATTTAAAAATAAGATAATTAAACCCACCTTGAATAGATTCAACATTTGACTTAGATGTATCTGACATTATTTCCCATTTAATATCATTATTTTCTTCAAATTCACCAAAATCAATCTGTAAATTAATCATTTACATTATTTCCACATTAATAGTTTTAATTCAAGTAAATTTTAACTACCTTATCCACGTGGACGTAATCCCCATTCGGACTCGAAGAGCTATCATCGCCGAAGTCAATGGCACTTCCCGAATCACCAAAATCAATCTGATACAAAAACAATTCAAAAATATTTTATTAACGCATATTAAATGCCTTATTTAAATAGCAGGAAATTACCTGATCATCTGTATCACTATGAATATCTCCCGGAAGAGTTAAATCTAATTTTGGCTCTTCCACAATCTCTGGAGTCTCTCCGGTCCTCCATTCGTAAGTCGTCGTGTTTCCTTTTTCGATAATATGACTTAAAAGGGTTACGTATTCGTTTTTCAGATTGTCTCTGAAAATAAATTACATATAAATAAATAAGAATTTCTTTTAATTGTTGTAATTAATTTACTTTACCTGTTTAAAGTAAATTCCAAAAATGTTATATAAAATTGCACGGCAGGTTTCAAACTATCGCACTTCTTGACTATTTCCGAGAAAACTTTTGGCAGTTCATCTAACAGCTGAATCAGTTCTTTACGGATATCATTCCCCTTTGAAAAAGTACACAGAAGAAAACTTTTTGATATAATTTTGTATCCTATTTTAAAATATCCAATTCAAAATAAATATGAATATAATTCGATTAATAATTTTAATTCAAAGGAATTAAAATCTTTCATATTTCTTCCATAATCTGTGAGAAAACTAAAATTTTTTTACACTATTTCATTAAAGTAGCCCCGAAGTGGGTATGTGAATTATATATCATCTACTGAGAACATTAGTGACATAACTCTAAAAATACTATTTTTGAGGTAATTGCTTTCATAGTTTTTATTGAAACTGCAATCTTTCATTCCTATTCAACTAAACATGTCAAAAATTTAAGAACAGATAACATTTGCACATAGATAGCCTAGATATGACACTACAGCAAACAAGCTCTCCGATGTTCTCTGGTTACAGGCACAAAGATAATTGGCCTTTGAGCATATAGCCCTAATTTTTACAGAGATTAAGCCAGTTTTTTGGGATATTCTCGTTCCGGTACTTGAATGTCATCCACCTTTTATCTATGTCACCACTGTCATATAATTCCAGCAAAATTTGCATAGCATTTGCCATCTGCTTCATCTAGACAATCTGCTAACTGGCTTTGTGACTTTTTCTAGCTAACTTAAAGATGAATACAATTACTAGTCACTGCTAAGAATTGTATTTGTTTGTTGCTCAAACGCTATTATGTGTGAAAAATTTAAACACTTTTTTCATCTTTATTTAGTTGATACACGTACACGTATTATTGTTTTAGTTGGCTGATGAGGGGCAGAATGAGCCCGAAAGGTGTAATATAATATGCATATCAACTAAATAAAGATGAAAAAATGCCAAGTGTTTAAATTTGTCACACTTAATAGTGTTAGAGCAACAAAGAAATTACAAAACACAGTTTCAAATTATAAAGAGAAATTGTATTTGTCCTTAAGTTCTGGACACATGTAATCAAGTTAACCAATTGATTTTTTTCTTTATAGATAGAACACTTTCATAAAATGTAGGATAGTTTTTCTCCCATTTCAAGTCAGTACCTAATATTTCTTATTTTAGTTACATCACTAATGTGACAATATTTGAATAAGTTTTGAAGATTTTCTGGTGGAATACTCGCACGAAAAATACATTTTATTGCAAATTATTCTCACAATATGTGCACTCAATTTCAGAATATCATCTGCTGAGTACATTAGTAATTAAAGGGCTATTGTAATTTATAGAGAATTATAATCAATAAACCTAATTATGAACTTACTTCAATCCCAATTTCTTTACAGGTAAGTTGAAACTTCTCTTTAATTTCGTTGGCATTTTTAGTAAAATCTAATTCTTTCTTTATGTATGCCTAAAATGTAAAAATAATAATAAAACTTTTAAAATTTTTCTATAACGATTTTGAGAATATTGTTAACTTTGATTGTATGAACCATAATATAATAAAATTTATAAAACAATGAATCAAATCTACTCATTCCAAGAGTTATGCTAAGAATGGAAATACAGTATTTGAGAGTGATTATCTAGCATAGAATGTCTGCTACATAGCAATTTGGCAGCTATTGTTTATGTCCTTTCAGAAATATGGTGTCTTTTTCCTCAAATCTATCATAATATAGACTGTGTTTCTTATCAAATTTCATATAAGCTTCATTCTGTAGCTGACAATCAGTATAATTAAACCACTGCTTCTCCCTACTAGTCCACTATTTCGATGATCAATGGTATTCATTTTAAACAAAATATTAAAACAAAAGTAATTTTTTTAAAAAATACAGAATTACCTCTTGTAACTGTTGACATTTCAAAATTTGTCTTTTCATAAAAGGAACTTCATAATTCACATTCCTAATTAACATCTGAGCAGCTTCGGCTACGCGTTTTAATTTCAATTGTAAAAAGTTTTGCATTTAATTTTAATTTTAAAATATTTTTATCAGAAGATTATCTTTAATACAAATGCAAAAGATAAAGTTAACCAACCTAAATATACATTATCTTTCTCATACAGACGCACAATTTCTTGCCAGTCCTTCATGCGCTGTGATGAATATTGCCCGAATATATTTTTAGTACTAGCTTCAGTAGTTTTCAATAACTCTATTATTTGGATGCAATGAAAATAATTTATATCTAGAAGGAAAATGTTTGATTTAGTTTTAATAGAATATTTTATAGTTTATCATATTTTTAAGAAATAAAATAAAGTTAAATTATTATATTTATTCAAATATAAGACACTATTGAATCTAAGATACTGATTTTTACATGCTTGTTCATTGATGGATTATTTCTTTTAAAATTAAAATTGGCCAATGGTATCTACATATTAAAAATATATACTGAAGAAACCTAAAACTGTCCTCTTAAATCTGTCATTTACATTCACCAGAAACAAAAACAGTTTTCAACCACAGAGATGACCTTTCATTTGAGGATATGCCTCTGAAAATATGCAAAAACACTTAAAACATCATCTGATGCTAGGTGTTCCAGCATATTTCACAGTGATGTATCCTCAAATAAAAATATTTCTCTCTGTTCTTGAAAACTGTTTTTGTTTCTGGTGAATGCAAATGATGGATTTAAAACGACAATTTGTTTTTCTTCAATATGTTTTAGTTATATAAATTTGATTTCTGAACTTAAAACATTACAATGTTTATTATGTATAATAGCTCTAGATAAGTAGTGTAGTAGATAAAATAATTAAAAATGATTGTTCCTAATGCTAAACTAAATCTTTATATACATAAATAGTATAAATAACAACAAAAGATATTAATGAACAAATTTAAAATTGAAACTTACAAGACCCTAATAATAACTTTGTTATTTCCTCAGTTGCTGGCATGTCTTGAATCGCATTACTGATTTTTTCTCTGATAAGAAAAGCAGACTGTTGCCAGTCTTTCTGGCAATGTCTTCTGCTTATAAGCCATTCTGTAGAATAAAAAAATACTTCATTTGCATGTAGGTAACAAAATATATATAATATGTAAAAAAGCAAGTTAATTAGTGTTAATTAGTTTGTTCCTTATAAATTCAAACACTGTTGAGAAAATATAATGAATTTTTTAAAGACCATCCTCTCATTTAACAGGTTAATGACTAAGTTTGGTTGAATAAACTCTATCTTCCTGCCTGCAACAGATCCCAATCTATCTGATCAGTGAGATTATAGCATTCAAATATGAGAATTATTCAATTGTGTTCATAATCATGATATCTGTATCATGATTATGTACACAATCTCCAGGAGATGATGCAAAAGTATAATGCTTTCGCAACGGGAAAACCCTTTTCTAAATCATCCTAAATATCCTGAATAAAATATTTCCTGATTGCAATATGTATGTTTCATCTCACAAAAAAAAGGTATCTAAAAAGAATTGAAATTCTCTCAGAAAAAATAAATAAAAAATGGCAACAACAAAAGCAAAATGATAAATTTTCAGTGGAGAATTTAAGTTTCTATGGCAACTACAATTGAATACAAATTTTCCCTTTAAAATATTCCATTAAAAATGAGTAGTTAAGTGATAGTAATATTCTGGTAATGGACAATACCTCTGATATTACAAGGTGTGTCTATTAAGTTCAGAGAATGAATTTATTAAAAAACAAACAGTTTTTTATGTCCTCGTGAAAGATTCTCTTTTGAATGCTGTTTAGTTCTAACATTACAGCCTCTTGGAATTCCAAAATTGACTGAAATTGTCTCCTTTTCAAAGAAAATTTTAATTTGGGAACAAGTATTCAACTGAGACTAGGTCTGGTAAGCCCCAAATTTCAAAAACCCAAGAAGCTGTAACAAGAAAACTAAACAGAAATCCCAAAAGAACCTTTCATGAGAGCATACATAAATTACTAGTGCCAAAAAATATATATATAGATCATAGAACAGTATATTTTGAAGGTGGATACTAAACTATTAAAAACATTTCTTTTTATAAATTCAGTCTCTAAACTTTGTAAATAAAATCAAAAATCTTTATATGTGTATACTTATTTATAATGAATTTACATCTGAAATAAAAAAGTAATAGAATATAATACAGTATTTATATATAATTAAGACATTTTTAATTAAGAAAAAACTTTTACGTTTTAAAATAAATTAAATTACTTACCTAATAATTTATTAGTGTGTATATCTATAGGTAAATTCTGTTCATTCTCCATCTTTAAAAAGTTAAATAAGTAAATATAAATTGCATTAAAATTTTTACAATTATGTATCCAATAATTAATATTACATAAAGTTAATAATTTAATTTGACATAGGCCAAACAACTTCCAGATGACATTGGGCTACTTTTCCACAACTATATATAATTTCACATTTGTTGTAGGAAATTATTTATGGGAAGAAAGAGAGTTACATAATATCACCTTGAAAGATGCTGCTGTGGCTGCTTGAACCTTATGATTAAGAAACATTGATCTTTTAAGTATCTCTTCATCCTGGAGAAAAGAAATAAGTCCATAATTGCTAGGTTTGAAGAGTAAAGTGGTTGTGCTACATCATGACAATGTGCCAGCACATTGATCCATTGGTCGCAGAGTACTTGTTCATGAACGATGTGTTCAAGCTTCCAAACCCCTTACTATTCTCCCAACCTAGCACCTGCAATTTATTTTTTTTCCTTCAGGCTGAAGAAACAGCTGAACGGTTGCAGTTTCACAACATCTGATGAGGTTGAAGTAGCCACGACGACAGCTCTCAAGATGGTTGCAAAAAATGACTTTGCTGACTGCTTCCAGCAGTAATATGGACATTAGTAGAAGTGCATAGTTGCAAAATGAAAGTACTTAGAAGGTTGTGTCATAACACTAGAATTAATATTTCTGTGCTTTTTACATTTCCCAAAATAATCCATATGCTAATCTCTTTATGCATTCTGATAATTCACTCATAATATTGTCTATCATGACAGAAATTACAAAAAAGGTTCCTTCTGATAAAGCAATAAGAGAATTTGTCCAAAGAAAAATTCTAAAACATGTTTTCTAATCTGATTCTAACCAGTTTAGGCAGTTGTTGTATTGTAAATGTATAATGTGCAAATGTAAATAAATAACTAATTAACTAGAATTGATACTAAGTGCAAATGCTTCACTGAATATTTCACTATGTATGGATGAAGGGTCCAAGTTCACATTTGTATAGCGCCTAAGACTCTGTTAAAATGTCTCTGACTAAATACGCTCTATCATGATAATCATAATACTGTACATAATAAAATTATTATAACATGATAATTACATAATACACTAAACATAACATAATAAACTTATTTATTAGTAAATGATCATAATTTTACAATGTATGGCAATACATTTTTATCTTAAACATGATCAATATTAAAGATTATAAAGAGTGACTGGGGAGGAAGGTATGTAAAATTTTTCTGACAAAATTGACAGGTGGTAGGGGTGCTGGTATAATGATAACATTCTAAAGATATTCTCAATAATTTTCCTATTTGAAATAATTTTTTGCAAAATCATTATGCATAAATATTTCTATATTATGAATTAGAGGTTATGTAAGGTGGAAATTTTATTGAGTTTGCATTAAAAATTTTATATCCGTTCAACTCGGCTTCCCCGAGATTAAACCTCGAGTGCACGCACTACTGGATATTATATTGGCATGTTAATAAAATTGCTCTATTCAAAAATTGATCCTACAATCAAACATTAAAAACAGGCAAAATTGGAGATGTCCAGTCAACCTATTCTAGTAGAACTTTTAACACGAAATAATACAGGTGACAATTTAACCTTTACAGTTACAGATTACAGATATACTTCTGAAAGATGTACCGGTATATAACATATTAACTGTAGTTTAGGAGTCATTTAATACAATGTCATCAGACTCTTCCTCTGTGGTAAATCAGTGAATTATATTTTTATTGGCCTATTTTTAAAATTGGCCTTACATTGACAGGAAATAGGAATAAATTAATGTACTGTAGATCTGTTTTAGGGGGTGGCAGATCAGGTGTGACATCAGCAGGGGTATCTAAAATTGCTGACATGTGACAGGTAGAGGTCAAAGGGGTCAACTTTCACCTCATATTTAAATCATCCCATACAAAAATTTAATTTAATAAATATAAATTCGTAAATTTTTATCTCGTTTCTCTCGCTATATCCATCAATTTTTAACTTCCTAACACACAATACCTCTCCTTTCCCTCCTTAGTTTCAGTTGTTCTCCTGTGTTTTTTATGGGGTTAAAAAATGGTTTAGGAGTTAGTCACGTCTGTCTTGTCGTCAGGTATATAAGCGATGATCTTCTGAAGTGTTTATATTATAATTAATCGATCAAGATCGATTTCATTAAAGCAATTAAGGAATCGAGTGAGGTAGGTTTGCGTGTCTTTTGACCATAAGCTACAAATTCACGTTGTCAGCTTTTCTCACGCATGTCGTTGAGAATAAGTCTCCAATTTTTATCGATCTTATCTCACTTCCTTCAGGCATAATATATATAAATTACTAAAGGTCAAACGAGTAATAAAACACTTTTATAATTCTGTTATTTTCTGAAAAGAATAGGAAAGAAGAAGAAGAAACAAACAGAAAATTTAAGTTCTGAAAACGTAAATGTCTTTCTGTAATTTTCAATGACCTCCAATTCTAATCAATTAGATATTTAGACTTTGTTTTTGTTTCTTTTTTCAATATGTGAACGAACTCCATAAGGATAATCTTCGTTTTTTCTTAGAATTTAACCATTGTTTCTTCATCATCTACGATTGAAAAGAGGGATTACAAGTGTTTCTCCGTGTCTAAAACCGAAATTGTAAGCAATTTACGAGTAATTATTTCGTGTAATTTTGCTTTAAATGGTTGAAAATTGATCGGTGGATTCATTTGTATGAAAATTACGTAATATATTTTCAAAAGTTTTTTTTTCGTTGAAAATTTGCCTGCAAATAACTTGAAGGCTACTTTTCTTAGAAAGTATATGAGTTAACATGCTGGGTAAAGCATAGAATTGGGCTTAAAACACTTAAATATGAGTGAAAGAATTCAGGTGTGCGGGATTGGGTCTATTCTAGAAGTCCTGCTCTCCATCTTCTTTATGGTCTCCCTTGATCTGGCTCTCCTTTAGGCTGATTGCTAGAATTTATAAATGTAACAATTAAGTTTGCACCACATAATTAACATGAATAAAATTACACAAGCTCTTCTAAATGGGCTAAAACTTGAAAATCTAACGAAGCTCCACACAAAGTTCAAGAAAGACACTTTCATTTTTAGAGATCCACAAAAAAAAATACTAATTACCGTTTATAAGCTGAGAAACATTCAAAAAGGAATGAGCTGCTCATTGATTTAAATCCGTTTCTGCCCAATGGTGCACGATATCCTGAAGAGATTTATTAGCAGATTAAACATGATTCATAGCAATCGAAGAGGACAGAGAGGATTATATTTCTTATGGCATTTATAATGGGCTCAGTTTCGCTTTACAGATTACACGATCTTCGTCGACAAGGCCCTAATAACATCCGAAAACAAACATTTACTTTAACCAATGAGGGCTCTTATTATGTTAAGTAAAATTGATGTTTTGCCCTGAAGGATCTTTTTTCCTGTCGGAATTGACTAGTTTGATCTGCCCTTTTTTTTCCTGAACTAAAGAAGGTCATCGAGTCTACATTTCCTGATATAAATGATATCCTAAGCCGATGTTAATGATGCTAACACGACATTTGCTGCGGGTACAAATTTGCACCATTAAATTGGCCATTTTGAAAATACATAAGTTAATATGACGTTTTTGTGATGCTACTTAGGCCCATTGCAATGCCGGTATAGGGCCTTTTCTTGATTTATTTTAAGATTTTTCAGGTTTCTTATAAAGTAAAAGCCACAGACTTTCAAAGTAATAAATCATATCTATATTATTTTCCCTCCCATTAAAGAAAGATTAATTTTATGACTTATTGTAAGAATCGCGCTTTGATTAATAATGTATTATCGTGTAAAAATTGAGGAAGTTATGAATGTTATTCGCTTTAAAGTAAGAGTAAAACATTCTTACATTAAAAAGGAAAGTAATTTGTAAAGTTTATACTTTATAAATACCTGTTGGGCATTGAAACCTGGCTCAACCTTGCACATATTTTAATAAATAACACATACAGCTCAATGGATGATCAACAAGATGATCACTCCAACCATCTTGCTGCTCATGCATAAATTTATTACCTNACTTAAAATTAATACATTTTAAAGAGAGATGTATCGTCTTGTTACAGATAACAAGTTAACGCATAAACAATACATCCTTTAATATACACAGATATATGCATTAATGGATGTTCTAGAATTTTTATATTTATTCTAGAAACAAGTTTCTAGTAATTAATTTACAATCGACCCCCCTATAACACTGTTGATTATTCCGTTTTATATGAATTCCATGTTGTACGAGTCACTTAGATTTCACAAATACGTGTGCCGGGCTGTGAATGGCTCACGTATTTGTAAAATCTAAGTGACTCGTACAACATGGAATTCATATAAAAGGGAATAATCAACAGTGTTATAGGGGGGGTCGACTGGTATAAACAATTAAAGAAAATATATGGTAAGGAAGGTGTAATGGGTTCGATGCTCTCTATAAGTGTATATATTTACTAGAATATGTTAGATCCAAACAGGAAACATGAGCTTAACTAGAAGAAATGATTTGGATTACCTTCTGAGCGTATATTTTCTCTAATATTTCTAAATTTAATGGATAAAAACCCGTTTGTGGATTATAGAAATCCATTCTAGATATTAATCAATGTATATAACGCTAATTAATTATATATTTTTACGTGTTTTATCAAGGAAATTGCAGATCAAAAGGTGTGACAACGTACGGAATATCAATGAATTATTGGCATAACGCTGATTTATATCGTTTATATCTTACGATTAAGAAATACAGGAAGTTACATTCTATTCGTCTTTATATCATTCGTACTGTTACTAAAGAAAAATATTCCAAATTTGTCGATGACGTAACGGATGAACGGACGTATCGAAGAGAAATTGTGTCAAATGATTATTTTAAAAATCGCTTATAACACACGATAATTCACAGTTGAATGTAGGTTACTATGAATTTTCTAAACATTTTCATATTGTTAGCGAATTTATTCGGATTT